ACTAAGTTGCCCAGGCTGAACTCAAACTTGAAATCCACCTACCTCAGCCTCCCAGAGTGCTGGAATTACAGGTGTGCACCACCTACCTGACTCATTTTAACCAATTTTACATATACAGGTCAGTAGCATTAAGTACGTTCACATTATTGTGCAACTTGTCAATGTGTAATTTTCGTTTGACTTTGTGGTAGATCTTTGCAGTGCATAACATTTGTATTTTAACGTCATCAAATTTATCAAGATCTCATCTTAAGAATTTTATGTTTTGTGTCATACCTAGAAAAGACCTTCCCCACACTGTGTTTTTATTTTTGGTGATACAGCTTGGTGATACAGCACTCTGGGAGACTGATGCAGAAGGATCACAAGTTGGAACACAGCTTGAGCAATTTAGCAACTTAACAAGACCTTATCTCAAAATAAAAGTTTTTTTAAAAATTAAAAATTTTTTTAAATTAAAAAAAATAAACAAGGTTGGGGATGTAACTCAGTGTGAAGGATCAATTGTCCAGTACTGAAGAGGAAAAAAAGAAAATCCTGAGGTTTCTTCTGGTATGTTTATAGTTTCATTTTCTCTACCTTGTCCTTTTTTAAAAAATTATTTAGGAATTTATCCTGGTGAAATGTATTAGGGATCCCACTTTATTATTTCCTTAATGCTAACTGGAATTAAAAATCAGACAAATGTATATTAAGTCCATATGGGAAAAAACAACAAGCAAAGGAAGCCAAGAATATTTCAGAGGTGGGGGAAGACAAAAGGACTTGTTGGAGCATGAAGAACTAGTCCCACCACCAATTATAACATATTCCAAATTACAGTAATTAAAATAATCTGGTCCTCAGTACACAGACTGACTAATAGAACAATGAAACAGAACAAGATGACCAGAATTTATTATCAAAATTGAGAGCAAAGGCATCAATTAGAGGACTGCCATCTTTCTCATCTTGAGTATAAAGGAATGTGTCACCCTTTTCAGTTTGTTTGGGTATGTGTTACAGACCACTAGAACACTACTGCACCTTCTCACCATATTCCTGTCCCCTGAAAGCCGGAGTGAAAAGTTACCTGTTGAGGCTTCATTTGGGGTTGAAATCCTTTCCCCAGAGTTATTCCTAATGGACTGCACTTCCCAGTCTGTCTAGTTACACAATGTGGAAAGTTTAATTTCCACAAGTTTAATTTCATTGGCTACACAGTTATGCACTGTTTAATGTGTTAAGTGGTTTTGTCGTGCAAGAGTCAGTGTGCTTACTCATACCTATTACATGGTAGAGCCCGCTACACACCTCGGCTGTACGACATAGCTTATTGCTCCCAGGCTACAAACCTGCACTGCCTGGCTCTCTACTGGAGACTGTGGGCAACTGTAACACAATGGGATCTGTGTATCTGAACACAGAAAAGCGGCAGTACTGTACACAATGCTTGTTACAGTGTAAAAGAGGAAAGAGGCCACACCTGGATGGAGCACTTACCCGAACCGGAACTTGGGAGTTGCTGTCTGTCAGGGAGCCAGGGGGAGCCTGGGACATTACTCCCCAGGACCCCACAGTTGATAAACACTGCACACTTAGGCTGCACTGCATTTACTTATTTTTAAATTTTCTTTCTTCAAGAATAAATTAACTTTAGCTTCTTACTATGTTTTACTTGATAATAAACTTTTATTTTTTAATTCTTTTGTAATAACATTTAACTTAAAACACATTGTACAAGTATATAAAATTTCTTTTCTTTCCCCAGTACTGGGGATTGAACCCTGGGCCTTCTTACTGAGCTACATCCCAGCCCTTTTTTATTTTTTATTGTTTTATTTTGAGACAAGAGTCTCAAGTTTCCCAGGCTAGGCTCGAACTTGTGATCCTCCTGCGTCAACCTCCCAGATTGCTGAGATTACAAGCATGTACCAGCCTGCCTGGCTTTTTAATATTTTTCTTCCTTTTTAAGCTTTTTTGGTTGCTGTTAAAAGCTAAGCCACAAACACACACATTATCCTAGGCCTGCACAGGGTGAAGATCGTCACTATCACTGTCTTTCACTTCCACATATCGTCCCAGTGGAAGATTTTCAGGGGCAATGACATGCATGGAGCTGCCACCTCCTCTAACACAATTCCTCTTTCTGGACACCTCCTGAGGCTATTTTACAGTTAACTTTATTTTGTTTGGTTTGGTTTGGTACCGGGGATAGAACTCAGGGCCTTGAGCTTAAGAGGCAGGCTCGGTGCCACTGAGCTAAATCCCTGGCCCGACAGTTAACTTTAGATAGATAAATGACAATAAATAATACAGTAAATACAAACCAGTAACAGTCATTTCATCATCAAGTACAGCATTATGTACTGTACATAATTACATGTATTGTACTTTTTGGGGGAGTGGTACTGAGCTACATTAGTAGCCCTTTTATTTTTTTTTAATCTTGATTATTTTTTTCCCCTAACTTAGTCAACTCAGGGCTTTGCGTATGCTAGGCAAACACTCAACCACTGAGCTACATACCAGAATATTTTTGTTGTTTAAAACAGGGTCTCACTAGGTTGCCCAGCCTAGTCTCAGCCTGCAACCCTCCTGCCTCAGGCTCCTGAGTAGCTGGGATTACAGGGTGGTGCCACAGGGCGAGTCTGTGATGTAGTTTTATACAACCGGCAGTGCAGTAGGTTTGTTCACACCAGCATCACAACAAACATGAATAATGCACTGAGCTTTGATACTGGGATGGCTATGACAACAGTCGGCAGTAAGAATCTTCTAGCTCTGTCCTAATCTTATGGGACCACTGTCATGCATGCAGTGTCTGACTCTATCTGTATGATACTCCTATAATTTGGGCTCAAACTTAATATTGTCAAAGACAAAACAGTAGATGGTAGATATTGGTAGAAGTCTACTTCTACTGAATGGTTCCAGAGGCCAAGTTTGGGCCTCACTTGAGCTTGGAAAGTTAGCCTGAGAGGGTAGCACATGCCCATAGTCTCAGTTACTCTGGAGGATGAGCCAGGAGGAACTCCTGAGCTCAGGAGTTCTGGGTCAGCCTGAAACATGGCAAGACCTCATCTCTAAAATAAATAACCAAAATTTTAAATAAAATAGGGATACCTATTTTTTAAAAGTTAGGATGATAGCTGGAAGTTACAGTACTACTCAGTATTACTAGCGATCATTTTTAAAGACAAAGTTATAGGTGTTGGTTTAGAATGGCCAATAGAAAATGTAATTTGAGCCAATTTGTAAATTGAAATTCTGTTAAACACACTAATAAAAGTGAAAAAGGAGGGCCAGTCTGATCCTCTTCAGCAGAGCTATGCTTTCTTCAGTCCCTCAAGCTGAAGTCCCTTCTCTATTTTCTCTTACTTTCTAACTCTAATAAACCTGCCTATTCCCCACAAAAAAGTAAAAAGGAATAGATCAAATTTATTTCAATAAGATTTATTTTTCTGTACTGGGTATTGAACTCAGGACCTCAAGCTTGCCAGGCAGGTGCTGTGCCCCTGAGCTGAATCCCCCAGCCTTAGTAAGATAGTTAACCCAAAGCTGGGTGTGGTGGAGCATGCCTGTAATCTCAGCACTCAGGAGGCTGAGGCAGGAGGATCGTTGTGAGTTCGGGGCCAGTCTGGGCTACATAGTGAGTTCAAGGCCAGCCTGAACTACACAGGGAGACCCTGTCTCAAAAAAAAAAAAAAAAAGATATTTAACCCAATATACCAAAAGTATTACCTTTTTAATGTAATTAATCTAAAAATGCAACATTTAACATTCTTTTTTTCATACTAATTCTCGGCAGCCTGTCATCTTTGTCACACAGCACACCTCCGTCTGGCCTGTTCACCATCTGTGGCTAGTGGCCATCTAGACAGTACCTCTACAAGATGGTTGTGAGCAAGAAAAAAGGCCTAATTTAGTAGAAATCCAGAAATTCCAAGGTTGGAAATGTAGTTTATCAAGGGTCTGGAACAAACTAGGTGATAATCTGAATCTCCTCTCCAATGTTCCCATGAGGTCCAGAGAGGGACTCGCACTGCGGGCACGGTGAGCTCCCTTCTCCTGTCCTTAAGTCCTCCTTATGCCAAGGCACTTGGGATTCCTTCCAGTGCCTAGGCCGGCGAGTGGGTCCCTGCAGGTCCGGGTGGCTAGTGGACTTCTAAGGGTGGGATCAGAGAGGTGAAATGAGACAGCCTTGCTGAAGGAACAGCAGGTTGCTTTATGATGCTTTTGGCAGCTTAGCGGCACGGGACAGTTAAGGGGTTTGCTGACTAAGAAGGCTGCGGCAGTTAAGGACTAAAATATGTCACCAGTGGGTCAGGAACTGTTGGCAGGTTAGGGCTGGACTTCCGGTTGAAATCGCCTGCTACACTGTAACAAGACTAGAGAAACAAAAAAGAGCAGAGAAAGAGAAAGAAATGAAAAGAAGAAAGGAAGGAAGATGGGAGAAAGGGAAGGTGGGGAAGGAGGAAAGGTACATATATTCAGGGCCCGAGATTTAGCTCAGTGGTTCCGACGCCTGCCTCGAAAGCGCAAGGTCCTGAGTTCGATCCCCCGTACCAAAAAAAAAAAAACAAAAAAAACCCCACACACATATTCAATACTTTACTAATAATGTGGGAGTGCTTCGGAGGACAAATTTGAATTTTTATACAATTTTAAGGTTTTCGCATGGGTTCCAATTAATAAAGAATATCATTTCTACTAGACTTGTGTTACAAATAACCTAAAGTACTGTGAAAAGAGATAATTTCCAGACCCAGACATCCAATGCACTAACAGATTCCTCATTTAAAAAAAAAAAAAAAACCTCTAGAAAACAAAGATAAAAAATTATTTTTCCCTTTGATTCAGTTTAAAAAAAAATGACACCCACTGCCTGAATTTTGGCTGAGTGGCCCTTAAAATAATTCCCTTTTGCTCTATCTCCATGCCCTCTATTTTCCCCCTTGGCTGTAGGAAGGTGTTCTTTTCTGGCCTCCTGCACCCGCCCTGGCCCTCCCCAAATCTACCTTTCCAAGGCAGGGGAGAAGGTGCATCCTCGCCTTCCCGGGGCTCTGGCCAGCAGCCGGTGGGACGGCGCGCCCTGAACATCCAGGAACGTTTCCACTATATCTCCGTCCCAGCGCGGCCTCTCCCGGCTGCACCCTGTCAACCGCGCTCTGGGGCAAATTTGGGAACCGAGGCCCCGCCCACCCTTCGCCCTCCCGCCGGCACGAAACCGACCAAGACCCCGCACCTCGGCCGCCGCTGTAGGTTACATCACGAGGTCTGGGCCGGGGTACTGTATTTTTTTTTTTTTTACAAGAAAACAAGCAGCGGGGGGAAAAAAATTCAAACTGCAAGCTCGGGCCAATGGGAAAGAGCAGGAGGTGGGCGGGCGGCGGGCGGGGCGCGGGGTGAGCGCCGGGGCCCGGGCCGCAGGGGATTCGTAAAAAAAAAAACGCGGCTGGCGCCCGCTTTGGGGCTTTTTTTCCTCCAAAAGCAGCTCAGGCTCGAGAGGCTCCGCAGTCTCCGATCCACCTTAAATCTTTAGTGGACTCGGCGCAGGGGTCAGTGGGCACAGCCAATGCCAATCAAGTTTACAACCACCGGCCCGGGGGGAGGCGGGGGGGAGAAATAATCTTCAATTCTCCCCTTCGCACTCGCGCACATACAAATACACGTCCACACGCGCACGGGCACACGCGCGCAAAAGGGAGGCGGGGCGGGGGCGCGCTCCAGGGAGGGGAGATGTTTGCAAACTGCGCGCTCGGGGCCCACGGGCCGCGCGCGGCCGCAGCGCCCGGGGACGGCGGTGACGCGGGCAGCGCCCGACCCGAGCGCCATGATGGTGGCCGCGGCTCGGGGCCCGCGTTCCGCAGGGGGCGCTGCACTGATGCAATCCCCGGCCCGCGCCCCGCCGCGCGCCTGCTCCCTGCCTTTTCTTAACGTTCTTTTGGAGGCGCGGCAGTTTCGCGCCCAAAGCCTCGGCTCCTTTTTTTAGTATCTCCCAACTTCCCGATGCCTGCCTATGTGAGCGACCCCACGCGTGACCAGTCGGGAGCGCGCGATGGCCGCGCGGAGACCTGGGTTGACGTGGAAAACACCGCACTTTCGGTTCCGCGGGGTCTGCTGGCGGCCGACCCCAACCGTCCCAGCCCCGCGCGCGCGCGAGCGAGCGAGCTCGGGGAGGCGCCCCCGAGGTTTCCCAGCGCGATCGTGGGTGCCTTCCCCTCCCTGCTTAGTTTAGCAGGATTTTTGCATTATTATTATTATTATTATTATTATTACTTTGGCCGGTGGTGGGGGCGAGGCGCAGGGTGTGGCTCAGGTGAAAAAGAGACGGCAAATTACAGAGAAATTAAGACTGAGAAGCAGACGGGTGATGCTAGGCGGGCTTTGGAAGCTCCGCTTTTCAATCCGAAGAGCGAGTGTGCGACGCCGACGAAGATGGAGATGCAATGGCGAAGGCAGGGTCCCCGGCGTCCGGGAAGGGCGGTCGGGGCCACCGGTGGGCACACGGGCCCGAAAGGCCGCCTGCCTAGTTCCCCTGCACCGGTTGAAGTCTACGCCCCTCCTGTCTCCGATCGCGCCCCCAAACCCACGTCTCCCCAGTTCTTGCTTCCTAGGTCCCCCGCGCTGAGCAGCAGGGAGGCGACAGGGGACACGGCGGAGCCAGGACGAGGGCAGGGCCGCCCCCCAAACGCGCCAGTGGCCCTCGGACCCTGCTGCGCGCGGCCGTGGCCGCCCCTGGCTGCTGGCGAGCCGGAAAGGCTTTCGAAATGCGCGGGGCTGCGGATCATTGGAGCCCGGGCCAGGGGTGGGAGCGGGCCGCTGCCTGGGGAGGGTCTGCGCCCCCCGGAGGGTCTTACTCGCTCAGACCCCGCCGCCCCTCGGGAGGCGGCGAGCTGCTGCTGAGGGCGGGAAGGAGGTTTTCTCCGCTCTCTCGTCCCGAGGAGCGCTGATAAATAAGGAAGGGAAGTTGCAGAGCAACCGTCCAGCCCCGTAGCGCGGGCAAAGGCGCGGCCGCTCTCCGCGGCCTGCGGGCGCTCCGAGCGCGGGAACTGCAGGCTGCGGGAGACGGCGACCCCCGATGGGCCTTTCGTCCCCGCGCGCCAGACAGTGCCACCCGCAACGGCCGCGGCGAACGCGCGGGCGCGGAGCTGCGAGGAAGCGAGGGGCGGGTGGCGGCGGTGGTGCGGTGGCCTGACTGCCGGGCGGCGGGTGGCTGGCGGCGAAGGCTGCATGCCCCCAGGAGAGATGCTAGCGCGGGCCCGCAGTCCGGGTCGGGGTGGGAACAGGACGGTCTGCACCGCAGGATGGTTTGGGGGGGTCTTGACACGGACGTGCACAGGGCGGAGGACGGGTGACTCGGGAGCGGCGTCCCTGTGAACGTGCCTGGCGCGGCGGGCACCCACTGCTTCCCGGCCCCCTTCCTAAAACGCAGTCTCAAAACACACCAGAGACCTCTTTAGGAAAGGAAAACGAGGAACACGTCTCAGTTAAAAGATGTTTTTTCCCCTCTGTTAAAAAAGCTTTCTGAAGTACCTTTTTTATTCAGAGGAACCTTAATTTTATTTCATGATTTCCTGACCTTCCACTCCTTTCTCCCCATTTTGATTTTTTTCTTCCTCTCTGTCTCTTCCTGAAAAACACCCTGTATGCGCGTTTCAAACAGAATCACAAAAACACCTTTGGTCTTTAATTAAAATAACTCCTACTTGAAGGAGGTGGCCCAGCCACCACCAAAGGATCTATTTTTTCCCTCTCTGGCAGCAAGAATCAATTCTGCTTTAAAAAAAAAAAAAAAGAAGAAGAAGAAGAAATACCTTCGGGTCAAAAAATCCTGAAACTTATTTAGGTCCCCTGTTGGGGAGCAATGATGTAAATAATGGTACTTGAATGAAACAATTTAACCTAAATTCAGATTTTTATAATTTGCCCATTTGCAAATTCCTATGGTAATTTACACTTTAACCACTTTTTTTTAAAAGAGAATGTGAAATAATTATTTTAGTAAATCTGACTTTCAATTGCCTTGTCTTAAAATTTTTTTAAGTAAAAAATCATCCATCTCTACTCTGTGGATCTAGGGAACCAAACAAACCCTCAGATTTGGTATTTTGATTAGCTAGTTTTGGTATGTGTAGATTATAGCCAGGATATTTAGAAGCTGAGGAAGTTGAGTATGAGGACCAGTGTCACTTGACAAATACTTAAATTCACATGGAATGCACACCTATTTCTTAGAGACCCCAACATGTGAATATTTTGGGCAATGTTGGTGGATTAGGTGGACTGAACAACTGCTTTTAATTCCTCACACTTGGTGTAAATACAGAATTTAGAGAAGTCATGATGTTACTTTCATTTTCAACCCTGCAAACGTGTAATCAGTCTACACTTATGTAAGGATTTTTGGTTCTGACACATCCCTGTCCTAGGAAACAAATATTGTAACTTACGGAGATTTGGACAGTATTTTTATATGAAAATGTGGCTTTTCCACTTCCCACTCCTAAAGCTTTGTCCACCTATGCAGAACTAAATGGAAAATAGTAACAAGTAACTACATTCAGACCCACACAAAGCATCATCTGAGTGGGCCTGAATTATCTAGATATTTGTCATTTTATATTTATGTAACTATGACTACAATGCCACATTGAACACCTTCAGCTTAGTATAGCACATTACAGTTCCACTCAATCAATAGCTATGGAAGTTTTCTTTATTGATTGCTTGATGTGTAACAATAATTGGCATTTTTTTTCACACATTACAAAAAATTATACTTGGCTCAGTATGCAATCTTTTAAGCATAGCCATATTATTTAACAAAAGAAGGGGAAAACCTACTCTACCCAATACAGCATTTACAAATGCACAAAACATGCCACTTTGGCTTGTATATTGTCTAGATTAAAAAAAAAATCTCTTAACATAAATAAGTTAGTATAATTTTTCAGTGTCTTTACAGAGTTATGTACACAGGTACACTTCAAATGGTTTTGCCTCATACACATACACAGGCAATGAAGAAATACTGTTTAAAGATGTAGTATCCATTTCACTTATTCTACCAGTGTGCTTTTCTCTACATGCACCTTCCTTTAAAAACACCACTTTCCTGTGGGCAAATTAACAAATATAACGAGTTTTTTAATTCAAAGTTATTTCATTATTTTTTTGTGTGGTTACTTAGATTTTTTAAAATATCCAGGAATTTAGAATTATTTTGACTGTGTGTACACAACCCAAGGTGAAAAGAAAACTAACACATTTTCTCAACAAATATAAAAGATGTCAATTTTGAGCATTCAGAACTCTCCGTTATATTCCCCAGGTTTTTGCCTAGAATTACCTGGAGTGATTACCACCAGCTGAAAATTAACTGGTAAATTCCAATTTTTAGGGAGAGCAAAGAGGATAGTTTTCTGATTTTTTTAAGCCATTTGTTGCTACATAACGGAATCATCAGAACTCCCAAATGAGAATAAGCTTCATGTAAAAATAAATAGCAACTATTTGTAGCCAGTGTTCAAATTTCCATGATTTTAAAAATGAAATATCAGTTCTTACTGAAAGGGACATTACATCTTTAAAGAAAACAATTCAAACCCTTCCCCAAAATTGCTTCTCTTCATGCAAGTCAAATATTTTTCTCCTTGCTATAAACTGAAGAGGCTGCCAATTCCTCAGCCCCACCCGCCCTCCCTTCCCCAATGTTTATGTGCTACATAAAAGGTAAAAACTATATACACAGGTAGTACAATGAAGCAAATAAGGAAAAACCTAATTGCACAATGCTACATCCAATGCTTTTAGAGGCAGGTCATTTAAGAGTGCCTAAAATTTTAGTGTTATTGTGTTGTTCCTTTCAGTGCTTATACAGGATGTCCATTCCATGGAGTCAGCGATATGTATTTAAATTTTTTCATGTATATCTTCCTTGCTTCATCAAGCAGTCATGTAGCTGATAAACAAGGAAACATATTAACTCTGCGAAAGAAATAAGGAAGAATTAGAGAGAAAACACTAGAGTGACATTACCAATAAAGTAGAGGAATTATCTTCCTACTATCATAGTTGGGAAATACCTGAGTGCTGGACTAAAAGTTTGATGATTACTGTCACCTGCATCTCACACAGTCTTAACTGAACTTTTGCTCTCCCCTGCGTTGTGTTAGAGCAGTGGTTCTTAACAAATGGGCAGTAGTAACCCCCCCACCAGGGGACAGTGTCCACAAAAATTTTTGGTTGTCACAACCAGGGAGGATTGCTACTGGCATCTAGTGGGACAGGCCAGGGATACTGCCAAACATTTTAAAATGCACAGGACAG